GAGCGCTGCTCAGCCAGAAGCTGGGCTCATGGCTGGCAAATGCAGTGGGGGTGGCGGGAGCCTCCTGCCTCTACTGCAGGCAGGCAGTAAGGAGCAAGGGGTCCCGGATTGTGTGAGGAAGCTAGCTGGGCTGAGGGACACTCCTCCTCCTCCCCCCGCCAGTGCACAAATCTCGTGCACCAGGCCTCTAGTATTAAAGAACAAAATGAGAGAAAGCTGAAGGAGACAATGAGAATTCTTGAAAATACGCATTTGCTGGGGAAGCCGTGCCGTTTCCCACCTTTGTTGAAAGAGGACATCAGCTCCCAGCCAGCAGCAGCAGCAGGTATGCTGAGCATGGAGGCCTTCACACCGAACCGCCAAGATAAGGAGGTGAGATTTAATCGCCCACAGGTGAGCTTTTACCGCTGCGCCGTGTTCAGTTACCTTATCTGCCCGGGGCTGAGCCGGCAGCAATAGCCTGCCTGTTCGGGGGTGCAGACCGAGGCGTGGGCACAACCGCCGACAGGAGGCCTCGGAGGACAGCGCCGCTCGAGGGACGCTGCGAGCTTCTCACGGCTGCAGCTCACGGGGAAGTAACGTGCAAGGTCATTCCCACGCTCCTCCAGGCCGACATTTTAGGAAATGAAAGTTACACAAACCGCAGGTGGCATGAGCTGTCACTCAGCCCGGCCCGTGTGCGGAGCGGGGCTCTGCCTCCAGCCGGCCGGCGGCTCCCGCAGCCTGCCCCTCTGCCGGCCAGGGCACCGCAGGGCCCCTTGGGGAGCGGGCGGGCCACGCCGCTCTGCTGCTCTCCCCAGAACTACGTCTTGGGCTCTGTGTGGGAACGGGAAGTTTTTAACTTGATGTCTATCCTGAGCCTCCAAGTTCTTGTAGGACGGGAGCGGAGCAGCCACGTCTGCTCCTCGCTGCGCCACGCAGGCGCCTGGCCTCCCTGACCTCCCGGGCCACCGGTTGGCGACCACTGCACTAGAGGGTCTCCCCACCAATGGTGACTGGAGAAGTCATATGGATTCAAAATTTTAGTTTCTTCAATTATTAAAGAAAAAAAATTAGTTTGTATAAGCTGTCCTATAGACCCTGTTATGGTACTATTACTTGTATGTTATATGTTCTATAGCACACACATCACATCACAGACAGCATGCGTGGACCACTGAGGCACCCCGCTGCCTGTCTCCATGAGGAGGTAGTGATGTTGTGTCTGCGGAGAAGGGCGCCTGGGCAGGCGGGAGGCCTCGAGCTCAGGGTCAGCAGGGGGCACTGTCCGCTGAGGCCTCCTTTCCCTTCATTTCCTCACCCCGCCAGGTGCACGGGCACTGCCTGTCTGGGGCAGTGGGGGGACGGGGGAGCTGCAAGGAAGGAGGTTGTCTGAGATGTGACGATGTGGCCCACAGGTCACCACGCTGCATGGCTGCAGCACTGACCAGGCAGGGTGAAAGGGCCTGGAGGCCATCAGAGAGCTGCCCTCCGGGGCTGGGGTGGATGCTGAGATGTAAATGCTTCTTCAAATAGGACGTATGTTGACGTAGCTCAATTTGGCTTAACAAACATCAAGAGAAAACAAGTTGTTTTGTGAAAATAAAAGATACATAATGATAAAGAGGGAGCGAACCAGAGGTACGAGTTCCCTCCAAGTGTTTGCCCCCTTTGTGCTGGGCTGAGTCACCGTCACCTCCCCGGCGGACCGCAGGCCTAATGGCCGCGCAGCCTGACTGCAAGGGGCTGCCCGCCGGTCCCATCTGCAAGGCCGCAGGGAGCGGGAGGAGCCGCAGGGAGGACTCAGGGAGCAGGAGGACGCAGGGAGCGGGAGGAGCCGCAGGGAGTGGGAGGAGGACGCAGGGAGCGGGAGGATGCAGGGAGCGGGAGGAGCCGCAGGGAGCGGGAGGACACAGAGCGGGAGAGAGGACACAGGGAGCGGGAGGACGCAGGGAGCAGGAGGAGCCGCAGGGAGGACGCAGGGAGCGGGAGGATGCAGGGAGCGGGAGGACGCAGGGAGCAGGAGGACACAGGGAGCGGGAGGGAGGACTCAGGGAGCGGGAGGACACAGGGGGCGGGAGGACACAGGGAGCGGGAGGGAGGACACAGGGAGCGGGAGGACACAGGGAGCGGGAGGGAGGACACAGGGAGCGGGAGGAGGACTCAGGGAGCGGGAGGACACAGGGAGCGGGAGGAGGACTCAGGGAGCGGGAGGAGCCGCAGGGAGGACTCAGGGAGTGGGAGGACGCAGGGAGCGGGAGGACACAGGGAGAGGGAGGGAGGACACAGGGAACAGGAGGGAGGACTCAGGGAGTGGAAGGGAGGATACAGGGAGCGGGAGGACACAGAAAGCGGAGGATGCAGGGAGCGCGAGGAGCCGCAGGGAGGACTCAGGGAGTGGGAGGGAGAACACAGGGAACGGGAGGACACAGGGAGCGGGAGGGAGGATGCAGGGAGTGGGAGGACACAGAAAGTGGGAGGACATAGAAAGCGGGAGGATGCAGGGAGCGGGAGGAGCCGCAGGAAGGACTCAGGGAGCGGGAGGGAGGACGCAGGGAACGGGAGAACACAGGGAGCGGGAGGATACAGGAAGCGGGAGGACACAGGGAGCGGGAGGAGCCGCAGGGAGGACTCAGGGAGCGGGAGGACACAGGGAGCGGGAGGACACAGGGAGCAGGACACAGGGAGTGGGAGGACACAGGAAGCAGGAGGATGCAGGGATCGGGAGGAGCTGCAGGGAGGACTCAGGGAGCGGGAGGACACAGGGAGCGGGAGGAGCCGCAGGGAGGACTCAGGGAGCGGGAGGGAGGATACAGGGAGTGGGAGGGAGGACACAGGGAGCGGGAGGACACAGGGAGCAGGAGGGAGGACACAGGGAGCGGGAGGACGCAGGGAGCGGCTGCAGCAGCGATGTCTCCCGCAGAGGGAGCCCTGGGTGCACACACTGGGTCATGAGGACACAGCACTGGCACGCGCAGCGGTCAGACGGAGAGGAGAGGGGGGGCACCCTCTTGGTGAGCTAAGGCCCGCCCCGGCTTCCCCCCGCTGAGTATGAGCTGGTTCCACAGTGCCCTCCCCCGGCCATCCCAGCCACCCCTTCCACAGGAAGTTCCGCGGGCGCCTGTCCCCTGAGGAGGGAAGCCCAGCCCGCGGGCTGCAGCCTCTCCGGCTGACCGTCCTGCCACCTGGCAGTCACGGAGACATGGCCGTCAGACACACCCTGTGCGTGTGACAGACCCTCCGCAGCACACTGCACGCAGGCTTCCTGAGCCCTTCCCGGACCTGTGCAGTGGGCCTGCCCCCGCCCTGCAAGGCGTCTGAGCTGAGAAGCCTGCTGGGTCGTCCCCTCTCTGACCTGTGACCTTGCCCACCGGGGGGGGGGGGGGGAGGTCTCAGTCCTTGGCCTGCCTCTAACTGAATCGTTCCCAGTCAGCTTCGTAAGACCCACCTCCACCCCGTATCTCCTCACGGTCATTTCCACCACGCACACCCTGCTCCCCGGAGCCCCCGTCTCAGGGCTCCCAGTTCCTGGGGCTCCTCGTTCTAGGGGGCCACGTCCCAGGCGGCTCCCAGTCCCGGGGGCTCTGTGCATTGAGCCTGGGCTAGCTCCTCCGCGCCCAGGACACTGAGTGACGCCTCTAGCTTTAGCGCAGGCACGACTGCTTCTTTGGCAGCAGCCACACAGTCTACCAGCACCAAAGGCCTGTCTAGTCCTCTCATGAAAGCGACCCCTACAATGCCGTGGGGGCGGGCGGGAGGGGGAGCAGGGACGCTGTCTCCCTTGACCTTCATCAGCACAGCGACACGTTCGTTTTGTTGATTTCGAGACAATTCCACGGTTTTATCTAAAGGGCTATGAAAATGCTCACAAGAAGTTCTGGAAGTTAACATACACAGGAGTGTTAGAAAAAGGCAGAACTAAAAACGAGTATTAAACGTGGTTCCCTCTGGTTTCTGCACGCATGATTGTTTCCTGCACTAATGTGTGCATTACTGTGAGAATCAGACAAAGGTCAAACGGCCCTGGTCAAACAGAGCTCCAGTGAGCACCCCCTCTCAGCGAGCCCCACTTCCCAATGTGTTTCTCTGGGAGAAACCGTCTCTGGCCGCAAGTTCTCAGACAAGTTCTCAGACAAGTTCTCAGACAGATCTCTTGGATCCTGTGCCGAGAGAAGGCTCACAGAAATAAAACGCACACATTTCCGGGGGAACCCGTGCAGCAGCACCTGCCTGGAAGCTCCAAAGCCTGGCAGACAGGAAACTGAGCACGTAATCAAGTGGAGGAAGGCGAGGAGGGGGAGCAGAGGACCGAGTCCCCTGCCTCTCAGCCATCGCACTGTCTGTTCCAGGGAGAAGAGCCAGGCTGTTATGTGTGACTCTCAGGACCGCTCGCTGGGCGATGCTCAGGGTTCCTGTGTAGAGCCTGCTCATTCACGCCAGGACTAAAGAACACCCACGAGGTGGGGATCATGGCACTCGCAGGCAGGAAAGGAACAGACACTGCGAGGGCCTCTGTGTCACAAGAGAAGGGCAGGCTCCCCCGAGAGTGCCTGCCAGTCCTGTGCCCGGCCTCTGGCTCCCGCGAAAAGGCTCCGCGGACAGTGACACTGCAGAGTGGGGCCCAACATTCCCCAAAGACCAACCGACCCGTCGCAGAATCCAGCAGCAGATTGCTCTTCCTTTTTGAACGCTGCTGTGCTGTTGTAAAATTCAGAGACGCTATTCTCCACTAGTTTCACTCGTTTCTACAGGGCTGGGAAAGCAATGAGGTGCTGAGCTCACGGCGCAAACCGCCTCGGCTTCATCAGCTGCTGCTGCATAACCCTTGGAGAACACAAAGGCCTTTCCAGCTAATAGTACCTTATATTGGTTTTTAAATGTTAGTATATATGGAATTGCTATTTCTGGAAAAATTTAAAAACATTTAAGAATTAAATGTAACCAAGACTAAAAGTTAGGAGCCTATTTGTAAATAGATTAAATACTAGATTAAAAACCACAATGCACTGGGCACTCCTTACCGATGTTGGGGTGCTTGAGAAGACGGCAGATTCTGGCTTCCCTTTCCAGTTTCTGATGATCTGTAAAAACACACAAAAAAGCCCACAAAATAAATCACAACTTTAGCAAAAAAGATTAAAAGATAAACAGTGTACCCAAACAACAGAAAGCGTGTACATTTACTTAACCTTTGATGTTTTTTAAAAAACAGATCATTTGGCCTGGCCAGTGTGGCTCAGTGGTTGAGCATCAGCCTAAGAACCAGGAGACCCTGGTTCAATTCCCGGTCAGGGCACATGCCCAGGTTGTGGGCTTGATCCCCAGTAGGGGATCACTGATGATTCAATCTCTATCCCTCTCCCTTCCTCTCTCTTTCTAAAATCAATTAAAAGATCTATTTTTTTTTAAACTGATCACTTGAATTTGGAGCTCCGTGACACAACGTGTTAGCAGCCATCTGCCTTCCCTTTCCGCTGGCTGCATGCTGGAAAGCAGGGACATGGCAGGCAGCGGTGGCCTCCTCTCTAAGTGTGTGTTGCTGCAACAGCTGAAATAGCAGAGGCACCCACGGGAGAGAGGGGCGCTGGGACCCGAAGCCCGGAGCCGGCGGGGGCTCCTGTGGCCTGTCCCAGCGCGGTGCTGCCTCTCCACACGGCCGTGCTCCGCCTGCCCTCCGCGGGCCGGGCTCTCCCTGCAGCACGGACGCCCTGCCCCGCTGCTCGCTCTTCACTCTTCCCCGACCAGCCATCTGTGAAGGGGCAGGAGACTCAAACCTGCACTTTACAAACCCCCGCTGCCCTTTGGTGTCTCTGGCAGGTGCTATGATTATAACAAAATCCCCAGCCACAACTCAGCCAACGCAGACAGGGCACCAGCACAGCGGCCACTCACAGGCCACAGCGCCGTGGAGGCAGCACGAGGGCTTTGCCGGCCCCCTCGGCCTGGGACGGAATGTGCCTGCCCCTCCTTACCGGTGTGCCCCAGCACAGTCAACGAGGGGCGCCCACCAGGCGGCTCTGGCTGAAGGCATGGCCGGCCAGAGGCGGGGACACCCCGGCCCGGAGAGCTGCACGGCCTCAGCGCCGCGCTCGCAGGCCTCATGCTCCTAGAAGCATCGCGAACCCACAGAGCTTGGTTTACGTGGCCTAGTCTGTTAACACCCACTCGATCACAATACGACTGAGGAAACGGAAAATAAATATTTAATTCACTTAAAAGCAATAATGTAGCCATTACATATTAACATAAGTGCCTGCATTTAAATTTTAAACTTTTACTTGGAAATAATTAAACAAGAAATTTGGAGAATAAGAAATTTGGAGAATAAGAAAAACACATGTGTACAATTTATCCAGACACAGCTCGTAACACTTTACCCATTTACCTCTTTCTGCCATGTACACCTGTGTGTGTATGCACACACATTTATCTAATTGACACCTATGTCTAACTATACAAACATATACATGTACTAGAGGCCCGGTGCATGAAAATTTGTGCTATTGTGTGTGTGTGTGGGGGGGGGGGGCGTGGAGGCTCTCTCAGCCCAGCCTGCCCCCTCTCACTGTCTGGGAGCCCTCAGGGGATGTCCTACTGACGGCTTAGGCCCGCTCCCCATGGCTGATCAAGGGAAGGCACCGCCCCTTCACTCCCTCACTGCTGCTGCCTCTGGCCTCTCTGCAGGAGGTGACCCGGCAATCAGGGGAAGGTGACGCCCCCATCATGACTGCTGCTGCCACTGCCAGCCACACGGCTGCCTGAGCCTCAGCCTGGCCCTTGTTGCCTGAGCCTCGGGCCCTGGGCAGCGACAGCTGCCATCCACGACTTGCCTGGGCCTCAGGCAGCTGCTGTGCTTTGTCCAGAAGGACACAACATCAAGTCCCTGCCCAGCTGTGTGCACCTCACAGAGCACACAGCCTGCCCGTCCCGCATGCAGCCTGCTGATTGGTCATTATAGCGTGATGGCATGACGACTGTTAGCATGTTAGCTCTTTATATATGGAATATTTACACCTAAAGTAACTTTCTCTGATCCCCCTGCAGGTAAGTAATTCAGGATACAACTTTAAATGTACTGCTGTGAACAGCCCCCAGAGAAGTGTTCAGAGGAGCCGGTACAGCGCAGGGCGGTCTGGCAGTGCACCCACCACCTCCAAATTACCAAAAGTCAAGGCTGACATGCTCTGGCCACACCACTCTCTAACACTACCCATCCTTCTTCAACGCCCCATCTCCTTCTGAAGTCAAGCTACTTCTAGAATATTCTTACTTAGAAATACACAACTAAGCCGCAAACGCAGGTTCTGAAAGTGTGCCTAACAGCACCAGACACCTGCAAGCCCAATAGAAAATGTGCTCTCAGGAACTCCAATCTGTTATGGGTAGAGATATGCAAATACATATGCAAAACCATGAGGAACAGGACAGAACCATTCACATAGATGGATTTACACAGCAACCATCCGATCCATGTATAACTGGAAAACAAGGTTTGGAGCCCGTGATGGTAAAAGTGTGCAGAGCTCAGCTGTGGGGAGGGCATCGGCTGGCTGGTCCCTCGGCCACAGTCCAGGGAAACCTGCACTCGTGCCCTAAGCCTCCTCACGACGGCCCTGTATGGGGGGCAGGGTTTTAAAGGGGCAGGGAAGTTAGAACAACGTCACGAGGGTGGCCCTACTCCAATGTGGCCGGAGGCCTTAGGAGAGAAGATGAGGAAAGGGATGGCGGAGGAGCCTGAGGACACAGCAGGAGGCGGTCCCCTGCCAGCCAGGGGAGAGGCCACTGGAGGAGTCCTGCTGGGACCACCGGCTGGCGCTACAGCACTGGCTATCCAAGCATCCGCCTGGGCGCCAGCTTCCTGCTGTCAAGAGACGAGCTCAGGCACGCAGATGCCTACAGCAGGGTCTGTGGTCGGGTCAAAGGTGCCCTGTGGGGGGTCTCAGGCTGCAGGAGGGCTCAGGGTGTCTCTGGTCTCCCCTGGAAGGATGTGCACCAGGCCCAGAGCCATGGGGCGTCCTTGGTCCTCGGAGAAGCTGAGCAGAGGTCTTGGTCCCCACCAGGCGCTGGGGACTGCCGAGGTCCCCAGATGCTCCCTCCCACTCACCAGGGAGTCTGCCTTCCCAGCCAGCACAGCACCGGTGACACCACCACCGCAGCCAGTCAGTGGCCGGAAGTGACCAGGCGGCCCACACTTGGGTCAGGACGACACAAGGACCGGAACCCCAGGAGCAGAGCCGTGGGGCCACCTCCAGGAGGAGGCCTGCAGGGAACAGTGTCTAGGGAACAGCGTCCCAGCACACAGAGCTCTGGACCTTAACATGGTTCCTGGGGATTTTGAGAAATATGCTTATTCTCAGCTTTAAGATACCTCTTTCTAACATAAAAAGATTTTATTTCAAATGAGAAAAACAGGAACTCAGGCCTAATGAGTTAAATCCCTCACTTCTGTTCCAAATTCAAGTTCAGTCTGTAGCCCGGTGGGGATTATGACCCGCAGAGCAGGGGCGACACGAAGCTCCGGGCAGGACAGCCTGCTGGGTGGGGATGCGCTCGCACCAGCAGGAGGCCCAGCACACACCCCTGGAAGCAGGGCCCCAGGGCCGCGGGGAAGCGCACAGTGCCTCTTGGAGTGGCGCCTCAGCCATTTCCCACGGCTGTGACCAGGGAGGCCGGAGGCCAGAGGGTGTACCCACCTGCTCCCTGCCCGCCCCACGGAGTAGCCTTGTCAGCACAGCCAGTGCCAGGAAGGTTTGGGCAGCGGGGGGCTTGCCTCCTGCCATGACTGGTCAGGCAGTGCCCTGGGCACAGGGGCACAAGAACAGCCTAAGGAGGACCCGATGCCCCCATGGGCAGATCCCTCCCCTGGGAGCCATGCAGCAGTGGAAGGAGGCCAAGTCCCTGTCCCCGGGCCCGCCCCCCAAGGCCCGGCCCGTGCTGGGCTCAGATCAGCCCTCAGATCCCCCGGTTTCGAGGGCGGCTCACCCTGCTCCTCTGGCTGCAGGACAACCAGCCCAACTTGATCCTCAACTTGTTCATATTTGCTCAGTTTCTGAGAAACTCAAGTCCAAGTGAGAGACCTCCCTGCCCAGGACCTCACCCAGCTGGCACCCACCCTCAGCAGCGGAGACGAGGTGCAGCTGAGGCCGCCCCTGTGCACCGCACCTTCTCCGGGAGGGGAGGGGACATATGCACACCGATACCTGGGCGCCGAGTGGTAAGTGGATAAGGGCTGCCTTCCTTGCACCGCACGGCTGTGGACAGCACGAAGGACCCAAAACCATAAACACCCTATCCCCGCCACACACACACACACACACACACACACACTGGCGGGAGGACCTGCCAGGTGTCTCCCCTGTAGGCTGGAGCATGGCCTTGGCTACTCAAGGCCTCTGCCTGGGCTATGGGGACCTGCCCACTACACAGTATCTTGTTGGAGAATGAGTCCCAACCAAGGGAGGCGGTCCTCGGGGGACACAGGTGTTCCTCGGGGGGGGACAGACTGTGCGGCTTGGTAGGTCACATTTAAAATCTCGCTGTCCATTAGGCATGATGGGAGGTTACCGTGTTCTAGTCCAAGCACGAGGCAGACGGCTTTAAAGCCGTCTTCTTTAAATTCATAATTAAACTAGAGGCCCAGTGCACAAAATCGTGCGTGGTAGGGTCCCTAGGCCTAGCCCTGTGGTCAGTACACTGCGGTTCATAAGCCACATGTGGCTCTTGGGCCCCTTGAGTGTGGCTCTTCCACAAAATAACACGGCCTGGGCGAGTCTATTTTGAAGAAGTGGCATTAGAAGAAGTTTAAGTTTAAGTTTTAAAAATTTGGCTCTCGAAAGAAATCTCAATTGTTGTACTGTTGATATTTGGCTCTGTTGACTAATGAGTTTGCCGACCACTGGCCTAGGGGCATCTTCTGCCCATGTGCCAGTCTCCAGTCTCGCCCCACCACCGACACCCACCTCGGTTCCCGCTTGCCATCTGGCAATCTATCAGAGCCTGCGGGTCGGGGGGAGGGACCAAGAGGTCTGCCTTCCGCCCTCTTGGCAGTCCCCAGTCCCGCCCCAGTTCCCCGTGGTGCCTG